TGTTCCGCGACGAAACCAAGCTTTAGCAACGGGCGTAGTCGAACGGTACACACTCGGTAAGCAATCCTACAATTTTTTGTTTATAACGTAGTTTATACGGATTATTTTCAAAAAAATATACGTATTTTGGAAATGTTGAGTCGAATTAGTCTAGAATCGATTAATTTTATGGAAGAAAACCTTTCAAACAGCCATAGTCCGTAAACTATGATTCCTACAAAATTGATTCATAAAGAACGGAACGTATCTACTGTCTTATAGGGGGATCTACTGTATAGTTTATTTAAGTAAAAATGTTTTTAAAAATAAAATTAAAAGGCAGAATAACTGCATATAATTATATTTTGAAGCAAATTATAAATGATATATTAATGACATCATCAATAAAGCTTGATGTTATTAAATCAAATTATAAATGGAAGGAATACTCTGAAATAAATCGTACCTTCAGTTCATCAAATGCTAGAACAAAGTCTAATAACTCCGCAAACTGTTTGACCAAAGCTTGTTGTGTTTCTAGATGTTTAGTTGGAGTCATTGATTTGGAACACAACTCTGATAATATTCTAGGAACAACCTCCAATGCTGTAAAAGTACAAATTTTAAATGTATAAATATTCAAACTAATGAAGCAAATAATTTAATCAATCCAGATGCATAAATATATAATTTTAGAAAAAGTATTTGAATTTTCATAATTGTTTTTCAGCTAATTTAAAAAATCCAAAACAAAATTATTTTTAAAGTTGTTTTAAAATTACACTTCAATCATATCCAATTTATTTTTCAACAAAAATTACTGAATAAAAATCATTTCAAATTACAGTAAAATGTAAACAGTTATAAATGAATATACTTCTCGAGTTAATAATTTCATGAAACCTTGAAATAAATTAAACATCTCTCTTTAATGTTTATCAGATTATCCTAATGTTCAGTATGTAATGTTCAAATAGGAAAAAAATTATTGAAAATTCTTGCTCTAATTCTTCATTAATTCATATTTGACTGCTGCTGATTTTAAAAGGTTTATTTAATTACAGATATCCCTCGTATATCATGGTTACGTTCCGTAAAAGTGCCATGTTATGCAAATCCATGCTGTATGAAACAAAAGACTATTAAAAAACATGGGGTTAGATTCCAAAAGTTAACAAACGTATATTAAATACTTGGATTGGATGTTACGCCAGCAGTTGTGTTAATTCAATCAGAAACTTCAGACTAGGAGGGTTAAAGAGAATTAAAAGGAATATTTTGCCTGAATAAATTGCCTGAGGACGACATATATTTACGTTGAAAGCATTTGCTAAATTAAAATATTCCTTTTAATTCTCTTTAACGCCTCCTAGTCTGAAGTTTCTAATTGAATTAACAAAAGTATACTATTCTTTTTAATTACCGCAAGAAATATGTTTATGAAAGCAATCAATAATTAACTAACAATAACAATCAAAAGTACTGTATGACATATTAATTTTGTTTGAGTTGTTTGAGTTGGGAACTGTTCAAATACAGAAATACCACTGTATTTTGTTTGTCGTTTTTATGAATGAAGTAATCATTCCTAGATAAGTAATACTTACAGTTAATATTCACCTAAAAACTTTTAAATAAGCTTTTCTAAATATGAAGATTAATCTATAAAAACAAAACACAATGACAGTCTTAAGGATTAAAGTCTGAAAACAACATCAACAATACCTGGTTGATAGGAAAGCTATGACAAGGAAGAAAAAATTCTATTATCAGTTTTCATTAAAGTAAACCTGATAAAGGCACAAAACCAACTGAAAATATCAATATTCCAAAATCCATGGGCAAATTTACGATAAAAAGGCATGCTTACTTGAATAAAAAAAATACAGAATAATTGAGTTTACATTTAAAAATTGTGAAATTTTGTACAGAGGATTTCCAAAACCATGGTGGAGCGAAACCAAAAATGGTGTTGTGCAGGGGGATTTCCCAATTTTCAGTGTTGTAGAAGTGCTGTGTTGTATAAGGGATATCTGTATATGAAATTTATTTATATTAAATACTTAACTATTTAATCCACTTCATATGTTTTATCTAGAAGTAGGCTGACCATACATACCATTTTTTATTCTGTCCCAGGCATCCCATCTTTGTACTAAATTTTCACTTTTGTCCCTTTTTTTTGAAAATCAAAAAGTTTGTATAGTTTTCTATCTTCCTAAATTATATATAAAACACATTTTTTTATTCCTTACTTGTCATTTGTATTGACACATATATTGTATTCCAAACTCATCACTTATTAGAAAATACTTTGCATCAATAAAGGTCATAAATTTGAATCGATAATACCACAGAAGAAATGACAAAATAGAGATTACAGAATAGTTTCAATGAATTTGAGGAATGTATTACATGAACAGAAGCACATGAAATTAAATAAATGGACATTAATAAAAGATAATACTGTAATAACTAAAACACTTGAAGAAATTGAATAAATTAAAAATCCACATAGCTAACAGATGAGTCAAAATATTTAATGAAATGCATGAAAAGTATCTTGAATTCAAAGATTTTAATAAATAATTTAAAATAAGTCATTTGCTTTTCAAGAACTACAGCTTCCAAGAATATTTTCACTCAAATTTCCTGCAATCAAAAGATAAGTTTAAACTAAATATTGCCATAAAAGCTATAAAAGGAATATTGATTATAAAGAAAAACTGTGACTTACATTGCAATAAATTTTATGATAAAACTATGTGACTAGAATTTAAAAAAAATAAGTTCATCCAAAAAATATGCTTGGTTTGTCACTAGAAAACCTATGTCAAACCTAACCATTAAATTTAATATCCATACTACTATATAAAGAGACAATATATATTTCATTTGTTCCAACTAATCGCGAAAACTACTGAATCAATCGTTACCAAATTTTAACTGTAGCATCTTTATGATCTCCAGAATGTTTACCACTAATCAAACCATCACAATTTTTATTAATTAAATAAAATAGAAATGGATTTCTGTCTGTCTATTTGTCTCTCTCTTCACTAGATGGCAACATATGAATTAGTACTTCCTGTCAAGGAATTAAACCTACAGATTTTTTATTAATAAATAAAATTGCAACAGATTTTTGTCTGTCTATTTGTCTCTCTCTTCACTAGATGGCAACATATGAATTAGTACTTCCTGTCAAGGCATTATCTCTAAGAAAAGTATATTATTGAAGTTTACTATTATATTTGAAGAACTGACATTAAATTATAATTAGTTAATTAATTAACAAAATCTTTGAGGCATTAAAAAGTCGTGTCATTATGCTCGATGGCAGTACGTGTACATATGGTGAGTTTTTGAATCATTACATATTGTGTTCGTGATTTGTTAGGCCTAGCTGTATTTGTTTGAATTTTATTTATTTGTGTAAGCGAAGGTTATGCCTACTCAGAAACGACAAATCCTTCTTGCAAAAATCTCTAAAGTGCTTTCATTTAGGACACTCTTTTAGACTATTCATCATCAGCTAATATTGGGTCTATATATAAAGTATGTGGATATTGCAGTGCTCTGAAGTGGAAGAATGAATCACAGGGGATTTGCTGCTCTTTTGGCAAAGTTAAACTGGATGTTGTACTTGCCTCCAAACTTTTTCTATCACTATTAAATGGGACTCATCCTAACACTAAACATTTTTTAAAGCACAATAGGGCCTTCCAAATGACAAGTTTTGGTGCCACTGAAATACTTGAAAGAAATTTCATGCCAACATTCAAAATTAAAAGACAGATATATCATTTAATAGCATACCATTATTCCCGACAAACTACCCATTCAAATGTAAACTCCTACAATTTCCAGTTGGTCTATACTTTGCAATGACTATTAACAAGTCTCAAGGCCAAAACCCGAGAGTTGTGGGACTTGATCTGGGATGCAGTTGCTTTTCATATGGCCAACTCTATGTCGCACGCTCGTGTGTTAGTAGCTGCAAATCTGTTCATTTGTTCTCCTGATGATAAAACATAAAATGTTTTATATCGGGAGGTTATTCAATAAGTTTTTCTAGAAAATATTCCACATCTTTAATAGCAATATAATGAATCTGTAACACAATTCTCTGCAGATATACTCTTTAGGTAAGTAAATATAATTTCACCAAATAAATATCTCCCGCCAATGATGGGTAACACAACTAGTCATATAATAAAAATATCACTTTCTCATTATTAGATTTTCAAAAATATAATCTTTTAGAGAAATTTACATATTATTTTTTACACCACCAAATCGATATCAATAATACTAACAAATTGTTAATAATGCTCATCCTTATTCTTGGTGAAATTTTATTAAGAGAAGTCCTGTATTTATCACCTATGGACTTCTCAACTCATTTTGGGATCAAGAAATTATTGTCAACCTATATAGAAAACAGAGGCATCTTAATAGAAATTTATATCATTTTATTTTTGAAAAGTTGAAAGTAATACAGATAAATTCTACATTTATAGCTTTTCATTGCTTTTACTTCAGTGAATAATTTACATATAACAACAATGCACCTTGCAAAAACATCATAAATCTGATGTCCTTGGCTGGAATCTGATAGACAAGTGATTTAACATTTTCACACAAAATATAATATGTTGGATACACTTCTCAACCACTTCATACAAGACTAAAAACATAAATACAACATACACACTAAAAGGATTATGGAGGTGTTATTTGCCTTTTCTATGGAGGATTGTAATACAGTGGAATGGAAGAAGACATAATAATCTTTTACAAGCTAGAATTTTTGTTAAAATCATACACACACGTTTTGTATATTTCCAGCATTAAACAAAATCCCAAACAAAAGTTTTCAGCACATTTTGCGAGCCTTCTTCAGGTTAAAAGCCATTCCAAAGCTGAAGGCATTATATTGACTTCTAAAATGGAACAAGTCAAACTGTTCCATGATGTTATTTAAAATTTTTACGTTGCAATTCAGTATTTATATATTTAAATAAACTTAAAAATTACATTAGATAATGACATAAAATAACTTATCATAAATATTAACCATATCGAAGTGAACGGTTAATGAAATATTGTTTGTTAGAAGTAAGTTTAGAGAGTAAAGCTTGACAAGCTTGTGGCATGTTAATGCTTTCTCTAATACATCTACAACAGCCGCAAATGATCGGGCTATATTTTGGATAAATAATTATAAATTAGAAATGAATTTGGCACTAGAGTGAGGCGTTAGGCACCATCTCTTATTAAAATTAATGATTAATATGTAATTAAATAATTTAGAATAAACTGGAAGAAAAGAATCGGATGGAAGTGAGACTTGAACCCACAACTCCCGCTTACTGTGCAAAAGTGTTGCAAGTTACGCTACCCGGACCTCCGGTCTGATCTTCTCTTCCAGCATATATAAGATATGCTGGAAGAGAACCCGCAACTTCTGCACAGTAAGCGGGAGTTGTGGGTTCGAGTTCCGCTTCACGCCAATTCTTTTCTTCCAGTTTATTCTAAATTATTTAATTACATATTAATT